TGCGCGCTGAGCGAGTGCACCTGGCCGTCAAGAGTTCAAGTCTCGCGCCACGGCGATGAGATCATCCGGACGACTGCGCGTTTCGTTGCGGCGCTAGTGCTATGCTACTGAAGAAAAACATTGTTTTGGTTTAACAAAAGATGAAACGAAGTATACTTCGCCGCTGACGCCGGGTCCAACAAAAGGATCTCCCGAGGGTGACTCGCAGTCCTCTCCGACGACTACGGTATCGGAAGGACGCGAAGGACTACGTGAACAAGCATCGTCGCTCGTACAGTTGCAGCTGGACGCGGGAAGGTGCGCCCATGAACGGATTACCCGTCTCTGCGTTTGTGCGCGGGGGAGTCCGGCTTTCGCAAGGGAGAATGCACTGACGACGAGGCGCCCATGGGAACAGGCGCCCAGATGCGAGGTCATTCCAGTGGCGCCTACCCGTGGAACCCCCAAATCGCTTGAGTCAGAATTCACTAAAGGCAGACAACATTAAAACAACAACGCCCCTCGAAATGTACCCGTCTTTTTTTGGCTGCAGCTGGAGGCGCGGCGCCTGTGTGCATTACTGGATTAGGTCAATACCCGACCAAGTGTGCGCGCCCGTGTTATGTATTGGCTGCTCGTCGCCACCTTGGCCTAAGGACGCTTGTGATGCAGTTTCTACGACTGCCGAGCAGAAGTTGGTGGGAACGGAATGTGAGGGGGCTCGGAAATGTCACTTCATCTGCCGGCGTCTTATTTATTCCTTCGCTCAAACTTTGTGGTGAGCAAAATTAGCAGAGATTTCGAAAGTAGTTAGTAATTTGAGTAGAAGTTACCTGAAAGATGTAGTTAAGTTAAACTACTAATTACCGAAATAAAGTTGGGATTGAAAGTTACCAAGTTACTCAGAAAAGTAGTTAAACTACAGTAGTTTGAGTAGAGTAGTTGAACTACGTCCAAGTCTTGGGGATAAGCAGGTGCTGAAGCATGTGTGTGTGGGTGTATGCTTTTGTCTGGTTCGGTGTGTGGCACCGAATGCTCATCCAGGGTACTAGCGGCGCGGCGTTCCTTTTCGTCCCCGGCGGCGCCGCCATCATACAATCGCTTCTCACCACAAACACGCACATACACGGGCCTACACAATGCGTACCCTCGCCGGCGTAAACTATCTGTACGCACGAGTGCTTGCATCCCCAATAGGGGTGAGGAGGCTGCCCTGAGGGGTACCACCGCAAAAGACAACAACATTGCTGTTTTCTTTTTTTTTTCTTTCTTTTTTTTTTTTTTTTTTACGGTTGTGCGCAGCGAGAGTGGCTAATTTAGAATGGCCCGTCTTTTGTCCAAACCCGTCGCGATGTTTCCCTTCCTTTCGAAGTGTGACACGTGGTTTTGTTTACTTTTGCTTGTCATTTTTGTTTTTCCGTCCTTTCCGCGCGTGTTTGGTCACAGAAAAGGAAGATCGGATGATTTTTCTTAACAAGCTGCCTAGGCCTGCAGATTGGTCGAACTAATAATAGCAGCAAAACAAAATGGTTACAGTATTTACGATTGGGTACCGTAATCAACTTTTGTGTAGCAGTAGCAAGCCAGCTGCCATGCCGCGCAATTTGTGAGCTATTCATACTGGGCTAAAATAAAGCGCACCCGGCCAGTGAAAATTAGCTTCGAGCCAGGCCGGGCCGGCTGTCGGAAATGGATAGCGGGCCGCGGGCAAGTCCGGACCCAATAGACAACGGGCCGGCCTAGGCCGGGCTTCTATAAATATCGGCCCGTGCAGACTTTTAGTCGCAGGCATCGCGGGTGGGTGGTGTCAGTCGCGTCGTCGTGCTTCATCTTGCGTTCACCCGGGCTCCCCGGACTGTTTTGTTTTCGGCAACTTCTGGTCATGGATTGAAAGCAAGAGTGGCCTATCGAAAGAAACTGTGTTCGAAGCCACTGCACCGCAAGGTACTTCGCGTCTAATCTAAAAATTCAAGGTTTAGGATATGTACATAAACCAGGCTGAAAGTTGGAATAACGAAGAAACTAGGTTAGAACAAGGTTAGAATTTATAAATAAACCAGACTTATTTTTTCTTTAGATCTCATTGTCTCTTTGCATAACAAGTTACATCACAAAGTGCCAGCTACATAACGGGATGTGATGGTTTGTGCTACATGTGCCAAAGGCTAGACGGTTACTAGAAAACTACCTACCTGTTGAATCAATACCTACAAATATCACGAAGTCTAGAAAAAAAAGAAAAAATCATTCTGAGGCGGTCGTATCATACCGCCATAATATTTGCCCTAAACGTGCTTATACAAGGAAACAATATCACCTGCATAATTTCCCTACCAAAAAATCCGGTATAACTTTTTAGTAACCGGATTATGGAGCCGGAAATTTATTTTTGGAAACCCGAAATCCAGATTGCAGACAAAGGAATAATTTCTGAAAACCTAAATTCCAGATAGAGTCCAGATTGAATCCAGATAGATTTCCGGTTCCATAATCCGGATAGCGAAAAGTTATACCGGATTTTTTGGTAGGGTTACGTAATAAATAATAAAAAAAAATATGAGAATAAGGATTACACGAGGACTGCACTTTTGTGATATCAAACCTTGTGCTTAGGATCGAAAAGCTACGTCAAACAACGTGCGGATATAAAAAGAAAAGAAAGAAAAAAAAGTACAGCAGGGTTGTTTCTACTCAGGGAATTTTTTTTTTTTCTGAACGATGTTAAAAAAATTTGTTTTTGTTTTATTTGCGCTACAAGAGATGACCATGAGACAAAAAAAAACTAGGATTGTTATAGAGAAGTTTGTACGGCCGTTCTTGGGTCAACAAAGGCATGACTATGACAGACAGGGTAGCGTATCGAAAGAAACTGCTTGAAGCCATATAGCATCGCAAAGTACTTGGCGTCTAACCTTAAAAATCAAGGCTTGGAATCTGTAAATATACCAGGTTGGAATGCCGAACGAAGCAGATTGGAAGAAGGTTGGAATTTATAAATAAACCAGAGTTATTTTTCTTAAAATCCCATTGTTTGTTGGCATATCAATCAAGTTACATCACAAAGCTCATTACGGGATACGGTGGTCTGTGCTATACATGTGCCAAGAACTAGACGTTTACGAGATAACACGCCCCACCTTTTCAATCAGAACCTACAATTATCACGAAGTTTATAAAAACAAAAATGGCGAAATCATTGCGAGGTGGTTGTACCTCACCGCCATAAGTTTTTCCCCAAAGTCGGGGTCACGCTGCTTATACATCATACAAAAGAAAGTCTGCAAACAGATTCAAAATAGAGTCACCACGAGACCTGAGCTTCGAATGCCGCACGGCAACGAGTTCAAGGAGACGCTTGGCACGCGGCATTTGAACCATGGATATCGTGGTGACTGATATCTGCACACTGTTTACCCCGCCATCTAGTAGAAGCAAACACCGCGATACGACCCGCAAAAATTGCTTAATAAATATTTAAAATATTAAAAGAAGGACAACACGGACTTCACTATTTAGTATCAAACCTCGTGCTCAGGCTCAAAAAGCTACGCCAAACAACGTGCAAAGATAAAACAAAAAAGAAAAAAAAATTGCAGCATGATTGTTTTTATTTAGGGAAATCCGAATTTTTTTATGTACGGAGTTCATGTTTTTTCTGGAGTTTTATACGTTCTACAGAATTGCAATAAAATATATAAAAAGGCGCTCTTGTAGCGCTAGCCGCAACGTGTCCAGGTGAATATCTCAAATTAAATAATTAAATAAGCATCACAACTTGTCTATCTACGTCCCCAGAGCAGCTGTTCGCCGTTCTACCACAATACACAGAAATTTGTAAAGTAACTCGACGTAACGAGACTTTTTCTTGAACTCTCTTGCCTCGCGCCATGCTGTCGAAGGCTGGGTTGGGAGCGTCTCCCCGCGGATAGACCGCAGGGACGCCGGAAGAGGGGGGCAGGGGGGGCCAGAGCCCCCCCCCAAGTATTCTTATGGGGGGGGGGGTTCAGCCCCCTAGCCCTCATAAGAATAGTTCGGGGATATAACGCCAGCCAGGCGCTCGTCACGAAGGCATCACGTGCGTCCATGTTAGGTGCAAGCCACGGAGCAGCAAGGCACAGTCTTGTCGCACGTAGAGATTTTAGACAAGAACAATTAGTTTCGGGAGCGCGCTTTTTTTTTTTTTTTAATCCAGTGTCCGTCCTCCATCAGCACGGCGGCTACGAGGGCTTAGAGCAAGCTGGACCCGATCTGCCCGTGGCAAGGCCTGGGAGTGGCGCGCGGGGGCCAACTGGGGCTTAGTATGGGGGCCTCTAGAGCCCGGGGATTATAGTTTTGTTGGTGTTGCTGTTGTCGTAGCGTGGGGGATACTGCGACGAGACATGCGTGGCGCCAGATTGTCGCCTCGGACCGGACGCTTTTTGTCATATTTGACAAGCTTTGACGGTTGTTTTCGTTTAGGAAGGTCTCAAGATGTCCTTGCCGGCGACTGGTCCGGTCGAGAGCACGTGATGATCTTCAGGTTTGAAATTATTGGCTCTTCCTTCGAGAGCGAGGGAAAGTTAGAGTTGTGATGCGAAAAGCGAGAAATGAAATTAGCGGAGTTCGTCTTAGACTCGGAACCAGAGAGGTGGTCGTCCAAGTTGAATGCGTTTAGATAAACGTTGAAGTTTACGAGAAGCAGCGAGTCAGAGCATCATTCAACAACGTGCCCACCACCAAGCTCCAAGATCATCGGGGCTGATCCTACCCTCCCAACGACATCGGGAGGGTCCAACCCGTCAGAGGTGTATGCAGTCAGCGTCAGTCAGTGTCTCTTCGACTCCAGCATTACATGCAATGTCTGGCCATCCAAAGAAGATCACCAGCTTCTTCCTACCAGCCCCAAAGCGTACATGCCTAGGAAGCGGAGATTCTCAAGGTAAGATATTCCGCAGTTCTTCTTAGCTCATCATGAGTTCTGTTTGTGTAAATGCGTCAATTCAATCACACTGCTTGTTTCCTCGCTTTCCTATCGCTACCAGATGCCTGTTCTGAAAGGCCTCTCGAGCAGTGTCATCGTGAAGTTCAAGGCACAGGCCGTGATGGTAAGTTTTTATAGAACACAATTTGTCGTTTAAAACTTGAATTATGAAAGTTATAAATGGCGTAACTTTTGCAGAAACCAGTCCAACACGTCCCGACATCACGAACGCCGGCGATGTACAACCATCAGCAGAGGGCCGCGCTCCTCGTTCCACGCTGTCCCTGCCGTCCCCAGATTGCTCGGCTGGTGAGTAGTTTTCACTATTTCCAATCGTCTAAAAATTATACATTTATGACCAAAATAGTCTCGCCTACCTGCTATTCTGACGATACGATTTTGTTAGGCAGAGATTTGGAAGAAATTGCGGAAGCTCGATAGTTTTTGATAACGAATCGCTCGAAATACGAGAACAAGAAGCCTTTTCTAAAAGATTAATGTGACCATACGTATTTGACCTCATTTGTGACAACAGGAGCAACTAGCTTTGATGAAGCAAGCAATGCGCATTCGCTCGCCTTCACAAATCCAAAGAGCAGACCCAACGAGGGCGAGTCAGCGCTGTCCAACTGCCGGTCACTTCCAGCCGAAAACTACAGGTTCCCCAGAAACCAAGGCAGTAGATCGTGCCAACGTGATTGGTTTGTGAAATTTCCTTGGCTTTCTTACGAAAGCAAAAGCGACGTAGTCTTTTGTCAAGAATGCCGTCAACGTTACGAAGAACAGGGAAGCGCTAACGCTGGAAGTATGGAGCCAGCCTTTGTCAAGGCTGGGTTTAACAATTGGAAAAAAGCCATAGAAAAGTTTCGATCACATGAAAAGAGCCAGTTTCACGCCGACTCCGTGAGCCGACATTTGTCACGCCAGGGAGGCATTCCTGTTTTGCGTCTTCTATCGCAGCAGTGCAGTAAGCAGCAGGAAGAGGCCAGGGTGGTACTGCGTGTCATAGTGAGCTCACTACGTTACCTCTGCCGCACAGGCCAAGCTCTTCGAGGGCGAGGTAAAGGTGACGGAAATTTGCTCGATTTGCTCGATTTGCTCGAAGAGAGATCCGAGGATGTTCCGGCGCTTAAGACATGGCTGACTAAGAGGGACAAATGGATCAGCGGGGACGTGCAGAATGAACTTATAGAGATTATGGCCCATACTGTACAACGAGAGATCGTAAAGGACGTGAAGTCCAGTCCGTTCTACGGCATCATCGCTGATGGCACTACCGACATAAATGGTGACGAGCAGTTCACCTTTTGTGTGCGGTGGGTGCCGAGCGAGACGCTTGAAGTTCGAGAAGAGTATCTAGGCATGTATAACGCGCCTGACAGCAGAGCCGACACGTTATACTCGGCAATCAAGGACATGATCTTGCGCCTCGGCCTTGACTTTCACTGCTTACGTGGCCACTGCTTTGATGGGGCGGCGAATATGTCAGGCCGTTTTTCAGGAGTGCAGAAAAGAATTAGGGACTCTGAGCCAAGGTCTCTATACGTACACTGCAGCAATCACTGCTTAGATCTGGTACTGCAGGAGGCTAGCAGGAGCTGTGACATAATTGGAGACGCTCTCAGCACTGTTAAAGACGTTTCCAATGCGATCCTTGACTCCAAGAAGCGCAAAAGTGTTTATGCAGACGTAGTAATTGCTACAGGATGCGAGGCGGCTGTGGAGACCAGATCAAGGCCGAACAACTTGCTTCCGCTTTGTCCAACGCGATGGACCGTTAGAGTAAAGTCAATGCAAAGGTTCGTTGAGAATTACGCCAGAGTACAAGAGACACTCAAAGTGTTCTTGCAGACATCAGATTCAGTGACCACCAGCAGCAAGGCAAATTTGAAGGGCTACGAAAGACTTTTGCAGAAATTTGAAACGCTGCTAGGTATCAACATTTCCGTAGCATTATTCGGGCCTTGTGAAGAACTCGTAAGGGCTCTTCAGAGCTCCACATATCGCGCCGCAGGTGCGAAAGAGGCAGCAGAGGCTCTCTGCGAGGCGATCTCCCGACTGCGCTCTGGAACCGCGTTTGACGAGTTGTGGGAGCACACGAGCACAACTGCAGCTCAACTAGGCCTGAAAGAGCCTCGCATCTCAAGGCCTTCAAAACCGCCTATGAGGTACGAGGCAACCGACAGGCCTGCTCAGCCAGTTGCACTTGACACTAAAGCCGCACTGCGCAAGGAGTATTTCACTGCTGCCGACCGAATCATAAGCGAAACAAGGCAGCGCTTTCAGCAGCCTGGCATGGAGCAGCTCGTAAAACTAGAAGACATCTTAATCAGTGCCGCTGGGGGACTTCAGTTTACAGCAGATAAACTAGAGACGGCTTTGGGAGTGCATGCAGTCGATTTTGACCTGTGCAGACTCTCGGCGCAGTTTCTTCTCTTACCAACTCTTGTACGCAACGCTGGTTCTATCACAACCCTGAACATTTTGGAGGTCCTCCAAAAGGGATCGGAAAACATTCGCCTGTTACTGGATCAGGTCGTGAGGTATGTCCAGCTTCTGTTATCCGTACCTGCATCTGCCGCTTCCGGAGAGCGCTCTTTTAGTGGTCTGCGTCGTGTAAAAACGTACTTGCGCAACCGAATGACTCAGAGGAGGTTATCGCACCTTCTGATCTTGCATATGCACAAGGAAAGGACGTCGGCCCTGAATTTAGAGGACGTCATCAGGGAATTTGTGAGCAGAACAGCAGAGCGAGCAGCAACCTTTGGTCCCACATAAGCACATTGCATGTCTTGTACAGTCCTGTGCAAAATGGCTACTGGTTGTGTAAATTACTAGGAATGTATACATGTATTGCAGTTTGTCTATTTGTATCGTGGCGTTTCACTTGTTGCCTACATGTAATACTTTTTTGCATCCGTCTATGTATAAACAGAAAATACTACCTTACCTTAATACGTATTTGTAGAACATAGTATGTCTGTTAAGGCTCTGTTATACTCCGACGTAACGCGCGCGCAAGCGAACGCTGGCCGAAGTCGGCTACGTCACGTCAGTCACGCCGCGCGCGTCAAAAATTCGCCCTCTTTATACTCCGGCGGCCCTGGCGACTCCCGCGGCGCGCGCCGGTGGGCCGCCGGCGCGGCGCATGCGCAGAATCTGACTACAAGGACACGTTTCCTGCGAGAGTGCGCCACTTCCGGTTCCTTTTCGTTTCGAATAGCAGACGAGAATCCTCGCACTTCTTGAGCGGCAAGTTCGAGCGATGGCGTGGACGTACCTTGCACGACGAAAACTCGGGTTTGCACTGTTGGTGCACTACCTGCGCCGGAAGCGTAGGCGGTCAATGTACATGCGGTACATCTTTGACAGGCGCACGGTCTACGGTACTCAAGCTTACTCGTGTCGTAGACACACGGGTGAGGACGAATTCCCTCGATCACCTTCTCGACGATCGAGTCCGACTCTTCGAACATGACGCCACACGGAGTGGTGCTCCCGTCGTCTGCTATTGCTCGTATTCACCTCGAGGGTTACCGGGAGCCAGCGCGTGATGCATCCTGGTCCGGCGCGGCCGGCGCGGCCGGTGCGGAATACGGCATGCTCCATTTTGGCGTCGAGGCGGTCAGGCTGCGTCGAACGCCGCCGGTCGCGTCGGTTACGCCACGACGCCGGAGTATAGAGTGTCGGGTTTTGGCCGACGTGACGTCGCTGTGACGCGCTCGCACGCGCGCACGCGTTACGTCGGAGTATAACAGAGCCTTTAGTGTCGTGGTGTTTCATTTGTTGCTACATGTAACCCTTTTTTTGCATCCGTGTACATATAAATAGAGAAAATACCATCTTGCCTGAATATGTATTTGTAGAGCAGAGTATGTCTCTGTATCGTGGTGTTTCATGTGTTGCCTACATGTAGTCCTTCTTTGCATTCGTGTATATATAAACAGAGAAAATACTATCTTGCCTTAATATGTATTTTTAGAAGATAGCATGTCTCTTTGTATCGTGTTGTTTCATTTGTTACCTACATGCAATCCTTTTTTGCGCCCCTGTATATATAAACAGAGAAAATACCATCTTGCCATAATATGAATTTGTAGACCATCAATAAAGAAGTGATCTCTGAAAACTTATTATGTACAGTTCCTTCTTGATGATATACAGTATTTAGCAATTAGGAGCACTGCGTAAGAAAATTGTTTTCTCATGCAGAAAATAGAAACCGCACAGGACCTAGTGAAAGGAACAAAAACGAACCCGCTAGGATAGTGTTTTCTCTCAAACGAAACTCAGATCGTAATATTTAAATTATTTTTAGTAAAAAAAAAAAAAAGTACATCATACAAAAAACGACAAAAAGGAACATGGCTTTAGCCCCCCCACTCACGATATACTTCCGGCGTCCCTGGATAGACGGATAGACGCCGCCTCCTTCTCTCTTTCCGATTGCACCCTCTCCGCACGAATGGGACGGCCGGAGAAGCGTTCGCGCGCTTCGGCATTTCGGAGGCCATTGGTCAGGGTCCCCCGATTCTCCTGCTCAGCGGGCACGGCGGAACTGCTCGCGATCATAGCTCGCGAAATGTCACTTCGGAATGCAAACAACACTCTTCCCTGTCCCAACGTAGTGCTGCAGCCGGTATAGGTTTGTACCAGGGCCGTACCCAGAAAAAAATTTCGGGGGGGGGGGGGGGGGGGGGGGGTTTCGGGGACGACGGCGGCCATTTTGAAAATGTCTATTGTCTTATTTTCGCCTATGAATCATGTGCATCGGTGGCATATAATGGAGAGTTATAGCAAACCTAAGAACCGGTCCCGGTTTGGTACCCGGTAGCCGACCAGCGCCACTGCGCGTGCGCAGAGGTGGAGGTTAAAATCGGCTGGCTGCAAGTGCACCGACCAGGGCCGTACGCAGAAAAAAATTGCGGGGGGGGGGGGGGGGGGGAGGGGGTCAGAACCCCCTAACCTCCCCCCCCCCCCCCTGGTTACGGCCCTGGTTTGTACCTTACTGGAGAGTTTAAGTATTGCACGTAGAAGCAAACGCAAGCGGTGTGCCCACATGGCGCGTTTTTCCGGGCGTCTAGACGCGCGTCTCGGCTTGGCGCGCGCGCTAAGCCAGGCGCGTGAGCCCAGTCAAACCACACGCAGCGCTACCGAGCAGCGCTTCGCGTCTGCGTTTCCGAAGCGTCTGCGCAACGTAGCCATACGCGCTTAAAGGGATGCTGAACCGAAATCTGGATTCCTTAAAACACGCGGCAAAAGCGTGCAGCGGGATGCTACAAACGCCAAAACATCACTCATACAGCGATATCTCGAACGGATGACCGTATTTTTTTTAAAAAAAGAGGCGCATTTGGCAGGAATGTTGATGTCATGTTTTTCCGAGAAGGGGAGGGAACGGCCTCGCGTCTTCTCCGCCTCGCGGCCTTGAGGGAGCGAAGCGAAAAGAGGAGGAAACTATACCTGTTTTCACCTCAAGAACCATAGGAAAAAAAGTCCGGCTTCTCGCGGATGATTACTAATTTTCACCTTTAGGTGGAGATTTAAGATATATTTATTAGCATTTTAGAGTGGATACACGTTATCTTATCAGGGAGTACACGTTTCAAACGCCAAAAGCATCGCCTGTGCCTCCGACAACCAAATCTGGCGAGAACTATTTCGCGCGGCTAATGAACAATGCGCAAAACTTACTGTTTTCTTGAGGTGAAAACGGGTATACGTATCTTGACGGTCACGCGCCTCGTCGGCCTGGTTCAATCTCGACTTCTTTTTCCAAAAATATGGCCGTCCATTTGAGATATCGATCTACTACCTTATTGAAAATTCCATCAGGCTACGTAATTTGGGACACTGACTGCCAGTCAGCAGCCTTGGTGGAACGTGATGGACCATCAGACGTCATCTGATGGTCCATCAGATGACGTCTGACTGCCACTGCCAAGGTAATTTCATCAACAAGGGCAGCATTTATATAAGAGTAAAGCTATACGCACTCATAAATATCGCCAAATGCCTCGATAAAACAAAATGTTCGAGAAAAAAAATCAGGATGTCTTGGTGGTGATTCTGACTGTACATCGATTGTCTCTGACTGTACGTCAGAAAGCTTTGACGTGCAGACAGACGTACGGTCAAAGGACGTAAAGTTCGTTCGGATACCACTATTTCGTCAAATCTATGAATACGAAAAGTAATCTATACACGAGAAAACGATTTTGGGACGTGAGCCCATAAAACCGCTGACGTTAGAGATATGACACGCAACCGACCGACAACCTTGATCAGAAGCCCGCCGAAGCGCCGAACACGACACTTCGCACTTCGCCCATAGATGCTTCGCCGAGCTTTCATGAACGATCGCTCTCGACTCGTTTTGTTTGCCCGCTCGCTCCAACCTGTCGATCCTGCCCGGGCTCTACAATGTCTTATGTTTTAGTAGAATTTCTACTCGACAATACCCAGCCTGTTGTGAGTTCCGACGATGTAAGGGACTTTAGCGGTGTAGTTGAAGTCGACAGGGTGTACCAGGTCTACTGGGCCGGTGATGCGCGAACAAAAGGATCGTTCTACGACGCGAAAGTACTCTACATGGCAGGTGAGTAGAACTGAAGTACGGCGAGTGATGTACGAGTGCTTTGCATAACATGCTGACGGCTTAACTGCATTTGCAGCCAAAGCATTTCGTATAAAACGAATAGTCAAATCGATTTTCTGCAGTGGTGGCGTAGCATAGCGGTTAAGGTGTCCGATTTGTACGCATGTGGTCGCGGGTTCGATGCGCGGTGGTGCTGCTTTTTTTTTTTTTCTCGAACATTTTGTTTTATTGAGGCATTTGGCGATATTTATGAGTGCGTATAGCCTTACTCTTATATAAATGCTGCCCTTGTTGATGAAATTCCCTTGGCAGTGGCAGTCAGACGTCATCTGATGGACCATCAGATGACGTCTGATGGTCCATCACGTTCCACTAACGCTGCTGACTGGCAGTCAGTGTCCCAAATTACGTAGCTTGATGGAATTTTCAATAGGGTCCTTCAGTCGTTTTGCCTCCAGTCTATTTTTTATGTGCTGCCATTCCTTTCCTTCGTGATATTCCTCCCCCGCGGCAATGGAGAGGAGCCACCTCAGCCTTGACGTGAAGTAGTCCCACGTCGGCCTGGCGTTGGTGTGACATTCCACCATGGCAGCACGCCAACCAAATGGACTGCAGACCCGGCAGGACAATTGCCGGGGCTACGTCCGAATTGTCGGTACCTCCGAGGTTCAAATACTTAAAGACTGGCCACTCAATTTCAAAATGCTGCCCAAATGCCACCCTGAGTTCGTCCCAGAAGAGATACGCATTTGAGCACTCGACGAAGACGTGCTGTATCGTCTCACTCGCGCCACACAGGTCGCAGTTTGTAGACCAGGGGACGAAAACACCCCTCGCGGTTAACCACACCTTCACAGGCAGCACCTCGAGGTGGAGTCGGACGAAGAAGTCCTTAGTGGATGCCGGGACAGGGAACCTCCGCACCCGCTTGAAGAGCCCGGCTGCGCAAAGGGGAACCGTCTCCATTCTGTAGAGGGGAACTGGGAGCACTATGGCGAGTGTGTCCCAGTACAGCGTCTTGCGGCTGGCAGCAAGTAGGTATTCCCAAGAGAAGTGGACCAGGAAGAACTCCACTGAGGCGGCGATTTCTGCGTAGAACCGCAGACCCGCTCCCCTGGTGGTGCGACCTGTGGTACTGACCATCCATCTGCCGAGGTATGGGTAGCCGAGGTAATGTAGG